TTTTTTTTTTTTTTTTTAGGCAAGAGGATGCAAATCCTGTATTCGAGGTACGCTAACTACAAGACCACGCCAACCCTACCTTCTACAAAATAATTTAGAATAAATTTTGTTTGAAGAAAATAAATTGTTAAACATTTGAATTGGCTGCTCAAGAAATTCATTGAGTGATATGTCCATTATCATTATTTTGTGTGTTTGGAAGTTTGAAATTTGTAAAAAAAAATAAAATATTTAGACAGTTTAAATGAGCTTCTTATTTATGTAGATTTCTTCCTGAGAATAAATCCAACGTTCTGCCCTACACCTACATGCCATTCGGGGCTGGTCCAAGAAACTGCATAGGAATGAGATTCGCTCTAATGGAAGTAAAATTATGTTTGGTCCACATCCTACGTCATTTACGTTTTATACGTTGTCCTGAAACTAAGGTAAAGATGATTTTTTCTTTACATAAAACGATCCTTGATTTTTTTTTACATCGAAACATTAAGATAGTAACTGTATATATAATTTAAATATTTTTATTATTTTTCCTGAGCTACAGCTATTTAGAGCACTGTTGTTTTAATGATTAACATTTTGTTATAAACATTTTTACTGATTTTCCTGAGCTACAACTAGTTAGAGCGCTGTTGCTTTAATGATTACAATAGTTTTTGATAAACATTTTTAATGACTTTCCTGAGCTACAGCTATTTAGAGCACTGTTGTTTTAATGATTAATTTTTTATAAACATTTTTACTGATTTTCCTGAGCTACAGCTATTTAGAGCACTATTGTTTTAATGATTAAAATTTTTTTATAAACATTTTTTCTGATTTTCCTGAGCTACAGCTATTTAGAGCACTGTTGTTTTAATGATTACAAGTTTTTTTTGATAAACATTTTTACTGATTTTCCTGAGCTACAGCTATTTAGAGCACTGTCGTTTTAATTATTACAAGTTTTTATAAACATTTTTACTGATTTTCCTGAGCTACAGTTATTTAGAGCACTGTTGTTTTAATGATTAAAATTTTGTTATAAACATTTTTACTGATTTTCCTGAGCTACAGCTATTTAGAGCACTGTTGTTTTAATGATTACAAATTTTTTTGATAAACATTTTTACTGATTTTCCTGAGCTACAGCTATTTAGAGCACTGTTGTTTTAATGATTACAAGTTTTTTTTTATAAGCATTTTTACATACTGCGCATTCTTTTGAGTCTTTGGGATTGATAGTTTATATACAAAGTTGTTGAGATAAAAATAAGAAAATTGTATCGGATTAAAACGGATAATTACATTATTACGACAACTTACTCGTCACAAGTTCTAGAATTCATGAAGACAACTATATAAGTTCTTAATATTTCCAATATTAAAATAAGTAATTGTCATAAAATAATAACACATCTAACCTTGTGTACTTTCAGTTTGACTCGGCATCATAATATAAAATTAACAGAATGTCAAAGCTAAAGCAATATTCAATTGGTTAGTCCCTCTTCATTCCGATTGATAATAACTCTTTAGAATTCAGAAGATCCTTTAAATTCACCAAGTCTTGATTACTCCTATACTTATATAACGTTAACTTATATATTTTTTCGAATTTCTTCAAGTGATCTCATTTAAAGTAGTATCAATAATGTTAAATCTAGTTAAAATGCTATTACCATGACGGATATTGACCAAACATGTAAAACATCATTGTTGTACATTATATATTTTTACAGCCCGACATCTTCCCTCTGGTATTAGGACGTGTTAGCTTTTACATCAGGTTGTCTTTTCATCATATCAACCACTAAATTCGTCTTCTTGTAGACAGTGCGAATTGTATTTCTTAACTGAATGGTGTTCTCTGTGCGGGACTACTTGGATCTGTATTCTGTTTGGAGTTGTACTCTACGTGGGGCTATATGAATCTGTACTTATATGAGACTACTTGGATATGTATTCTATTTGTGATTGCTTGGATATGTGCTCTTTGTGAGACTGTTTGGATCTGTACTCTGTATAAGACTGCATAGATTTGTACTCTATATGGGACTGATTGGATTTGCACATTGTATGTGACTAGTTGGATCTGTGCTCTGTGTGGGACTACTTGGATCTGTATTCTGTCCGGGACTGCTTGTATTTGTACTCTGTATGGAAGTACTTGGACCTGTATTCTGTTTGGGACTGCTTGGATCTGTACTTTGTATGGGATTGCTTGGATCCGCGCTATGTATGGAACTACTTAGATCTGTATTCTTTCTGGTACTGCTTGGATCCATCATTCTCAGGACAACCATTGAAAGGTTCTGCGGTACATTCAGATCTTTATTACGAAGAAGATATGTTACGAGTAAATCAAATGTCCATATGGTATAGCCCTTTAGTATATGTGGTAAATGCTAGATTCCTGTGTTATGTTTCTTGTGAATATACCATTTTATCTAGGCTCCACGTTGTCAGCTCCCATGGCAATGATTCAGTGGTGTTTTAAGATGTAGACTTACCTTATATGATTTTTTCAATATTATTCTAGTGTAATAATTGATTGGAGATACCAGAAGCATTTTTCTTATTTCTATCAAATGGTGTTTCAACATTATACAGTTGTAATTTAGCATTTTTTTCCTTTCACAATACATGCCACAGATCTGATACAAGTCTTTCGTAGATTACTCATAACGAACTTCAAAACGAACAGTGTGTCTAGGGTTGAAATGTTATAGAGGTAATGAATAACTTCTACAGCAGCCCTTTATAACTTTTTTCAGTATTTCTGGAAGAAGAATTTATCTCTAGGTTTCAACGAATCTAAATGAGACCAATAAATCTTAGTCTGTAAATTTTGGGAATTGTTATTTAACAATAATTATTTTGTTTTCTCACTGTGTATTGATCCCACAATGTGTCTAATTCTATCAGTTTTACTCTGAGCATTCGTTCTCTAGACCTTTAAAATTTTCCACTTGCAGGTACTTCATGAACTTCAGTTTATATCACTTTTGCTTTCCAAGTCACTATTGAAAATTTATAGCAAATCAATTTGAAACATGTTGTATAATATTTACAGGGACATATTAACGTATATACCCAGATTCACTGTTGTTTCTTCTCTGTCATTCATATTTCATATTATATAAAAATATTGCCAATGGAATGATGTTTTTCTTTAGCTTACGATGCATCAGGCTTCTATTGCTCAGACATTTATCTTACCTTTGGAGTACAATGCATATGTTTAAATTCACTGCCAGTAAAATACATCATGGCTTTCTTTTCTTTCAATTTTCTATTAATTCTTGAGCAAATCTCTTTGGAATTTATATTTGTACCATATGATGTTTGCTTTCGAAATGCAGCTATATAATTTTTTACGAATTATTAATGATATTTACAAACTCATTTCTTATTTTCCCCTTTTTTCGTGATGATAATCTTCCACCTGTAGTCAGTTGAATAGCTGTAAATCTGAACTCAAGGGCAACAGACTCTTGTACCTCATCAAAATTGTTTGCAAGTCTGAACTTAAGGGCATCAACAGACTCTTGTACCTCATCATAATTGTTTTGGATTCTTTGCTGGCTTTTTGAACAACACTCTAAGTAATAAGAACTTTAGGACCTAGTAGTTGTACAAATACAATCGTTACAGACAAGGGTCACCTGCAGTAGTTGTACAAATACAATCGTTACATACAAGGGTCACCTGCAGTAGTTGTACAAATACAATCGTTACATACAAGGGTCACCTACAGTAGTTGTACAAATACAATCGTTACATACAAGGGTCACCTGAAGTAGTTGTGCAAATACAATCGTTACATACAAGGGTCACCTGAAGTAGTTGTACAAATACAATCGTTACAGACAAGGGTCACCTGCAGTAGTTGTACAAATACAATCGTTACAGACAAGGGTCACCTGCAGTAGTTGTACAAATACAATCGTTACTGACAAGGGTCTCCTGAAGTAATTGTACAAATACAATTGTTTCAGGCAAGGGTCAACTGAAGTAGTTGTGCAAATACAATCGTTACAGACAAGGGTCACCTGCAGTAGTTGTACAAATACAATCGTTACTGACAAGGGTCAACTGAAGTAGTTGTGCAAATACAATCGTTACAGACAAGGGTCACCTGAAGTAGTTGTACAAGTACAATCGTTACATACAAGGGTCAACTGAAGTAGTTGTGCAAATACAATCGTTACAGACAAGGGTCACCTGA